ACGCTGTGCCTGCAAGCGCTGGTGTTGTCGACTCATAGCTAACGCTTTCATAGGCGGTATACGGTGCTGCATACAACCGGAATGAGAACTTGTAACGGGTAGCGGCATAACCACCGGCAATATCCCGGGCACTATCTGCCGTCAGGCTGCCGGTTGAGTTGAGCGAACCGCCACAGGTAAGTGGTTTTGTTTTAGGATCTGCTATACGGATCAGGCAGGTATCGCCATATACCGGCAACCAGGTTGCATTTACGCTAGCGCGTACCACCACTTTATAAGTACTACCTTTTACCAGGCCGGATACACTACTCACTGCAACACTGCCGGAAGGAGCTGATGCGATGGTGGATACAAAGGCATTTGTGGCAGCATTGTAAAAGCTCAGCTGATAATCATCAGCAACCGGTAAGGTGGCTACTGTTATCTGATCGGTGATCAGGTAATTCTGCCTGCCACAGGAAACCAGGTCGAGGCTGGTTGTTGTTTTTGCCAATCCAACCACACAACTATCTCCATAAGAACCATAGACACCGGCGATGGCTACGCGTACACTAACCCTACGCGGCGTGCCCGGTACAAATACAGACGGTGAAAGGGCCAGGTGATTATCTGCACTAACTACGGTTGTGATAACCGATCCCGCCAATGATAAAATCCTGAACTCGTAGGCAGTAGCATTGGCTACCGGTACAGCGGATACGGAATCCACACCAAAGATATTGGCCTGGCCACAGAATGCCGCGTCAATAGCCGTATGTGGATTAGCGATGCCTATGGTACAAATAGCACCATAGTTGCCATATACGCCACCAGCCATGCTTCTTACCGTTACATGAAACGATGCACCCGGTACAAATACCGTATCATTCAAGGCAATGGTGTTGGTAGCGCTGGTGATCGTCTTAATCAACGTATTGGTCAGCGTTGCAATGCGGAACTCGTATTGAGTTGCATTAGCCACCTGCAGCGCATTGATCACACCTGTGCGGGATAAATTTGTTTTACCGCAGGATGCTGTATCGAGTTGGGTAAGCAGTGAAGACAAACCTACGGTACATCCAAAACCATAATCGCCCCAGGTACCATTCACTTGTGCACGCACTTTTACGCTTATGGTATCACC